TAACATGAAGAACTAACTTAAAATAAGTCATTAAACTGAAGTAATGTTCTTTAATGAAAAATTTTAAACAATTCCATCCAGAAATAAACATTTTGTAATTAGCTCCTAAACCTCATGACATTTCCAAGAAAAATAATATAATATACCCCTCTAATTAACGAAAAATACATAAAACACCTTTTAACATAATGTTACATAATACACTTTTTAACAAGCTTTGAATTACATATTAAATTATCTAACTGTGATAAACATACAAACACACAGAAGTAAACATTGAATTACATATAACATAAGCATAAAAAACTCTTTAACAACAATGTTGGAAGAGAAAATATAATAATAATGTGAGTATTTACTTACATGGACAACAAGTAAAACTAAGAAAAACAAGGAAAGGAACAAATAAAAGACTAGTGGAAAGACTAGCGCACAAGAAATTGAACAAAATGTAATCACACAAATAAACAGACAAATTGAAAGAAAAAATATAAAGATAAGTTCTTTAACAAAAAATTACAAATGTACTTAAAATATAATAAAGAATTCATTACAAAACGAACAAAAAAAATTAACGTTAAGTAATCCCAAATCCAAACCAACTACAGATAGCAAATTCTAATTCAATAAATATAACTAATCATATAAAAACATCAAACTTAAGGAAACTAAAACTGAGTAAAAGAAAATTAACATTAAACAATTCATGAACTAAGTAGTAAATTAAAGACAAAAGAATGAAAATATCTGTATCTTGCCAGATCATTAATTTTTGGTCCTCCCCAAGAGCGTCAAGAGGTTTCTCCCACTTACCGTAAACACACCAACATAGATATTTTTATGTTTCAAAATATTGCAAGGTTAAACCTTGTTTATTCGATATTTGTATGTTCCAAAATGTTGCAAGGTTAAACCTTGTTTATTCGATATTTGTATGTTCCAAAATGTTGCAAGGTTAAACCTTGTTTATTCGATATTTGTATGTTCCAAAATGTTGCAAGGTTAGACCTTTTTGTTATATAACCGCGGCTGGCCACTTCCGATTTCATGAGGTTCTCCCGACTATTAGTCAAGGCTCTCTAGGAATTGACTAACTTGGCCTGCAAGCGCCACACCTCCTTTTTGTACCATCTTAAAGGAGATTCCCTTCGCCTTAGTCGGTCCTCTTCCCTATTATATAGGGCCTAAGCCTCAGTCCATTTTGTGTCCGTTTGCTGGCAGTGCTGTTTCAACATTGCGATCTGCTCTAGCGCCGGGCGGTGTTTGATAACATTCAGTGTCTTCCAGGGAGCTCCACTTGGCCTCACAGGAAAGAATACCTTCGTATCTAAATTGGTGATATCTCACCACTGACTACAGTGATAATCAGATGTTCTTGACTCTCCTCTCGACATCGATACTCCCTCACTGACGGCTAGCACGATGGTCTTCCTGCTGGTTCTGAATTTTCTCTGGCTTTAGCGCCCCCCAAGATGGATCACTACTGTGTTTGTGACACAACTACCGATGGGACACGTCTTCACCTCTTTCACTCCTTAGCCCCTATCTCCATGTACACATCGGGCTGTAGTCGACAACATTGATGAAACCTAGCGGTCAGTCCTAAGGCATTACAGTGGAAGTGAGAGTTTTAGTCACTGTTGGTGGCTTCTTCATGGTTGCACTCGTTCTTACAGCTCATTGCCCCAGCCTGGTTGGTGACGATCCTGCAACTATTGGAGAATATAGAACTAATTTGACCACTGATGTGGCGAGTTCTCCTTCGTCCAATGTATCAGTCAGCAATGCATCCTCATCCATGGGTTTAGGTGTAGTGCTCAATAAGCCTAGCTCCTTGATGATAGCCTTCATAACTCCTTCAATACACTCATTAGCAAAGAAGTCTTGGAACTCATCAAGGAGCTCGTAGCTTCTTACACCGACAACTTGTGGGCTATGATGAGTGCAAAAAACAAGGGTCAGAAACAACTGATTCTGATCTGGAATGCAGTTAACTGTAGGAAAGAGACATTGACAACTGCCAAAGTTTGATTCCCATGATCGTGGAGTCATGGTCAGATTTTAGGTATATTTAATAGCTGGAAGGGTCAGGTGCAAAGAAGACCTATTCCTCCCTACTTGATAGTTTATTGATATTTTATAATTATTTCATTATTGATTTCATGGGAAATTGCTATATAGACTACTTCTTAGGATCAGAGTTTGTACCCTACAATTCGGATACACACATTGACCCCTCTTCAAGGCCATGTCCACAGATGTAACGCTTGTAACGTTTAGTGTTTTTCTGTCACTTCTCTTTATTTGATAGTTTGAAGATCCTACACATCATAAAAAGTTCCAATAGCAGAAGCACTTTTCACTTGATCAAATCACTAGAAGCTATTTCGTATTCTGTTGTTTCTTTCTCCGGCAACTCCTCATCTGACTCCTTGTCTAGCTCATCAGGAACAACAAGAAAAGCGTCTAATGCCCCTCATTCCTCATTAGATGGGTCGGCTATGTTCAGGACAGTATTCTTTTTTCCTCTGATTTGTTGGTCTATTCTCTAGACCCCTGCTCAAGCTAATATATTAAGGATTCATCTGTGACGTATAGACACAGCTTAACAACGTGCTACACACGTATGCCTACGATGCTGGCACATACCACAACCATACCCAGGCACCACATTTGTGCATCCACTCTTTTATTGTTCAGTTGTAGTAACTCTTTTGTCGTTGTGCTGCTTTCTTCAGTTGCTGTCGAGCAAACGCACATGCATTTATAATCGTAGATCTCATCTACTGTATATACCCTCTGGGTTACTGAAGGGCTTCTTCCCTCGACGGTAGATCATAAATTATGTCAACAGAAAGTGATTTCTACTGCCCAAATATGAGTAGTTTTGGCGAGCAGCCTGTGGATCTCTGTTCCGTTGCTTTTTCATTCCATCATTACATATGGCAAGTGTTAATACCAGTCGTTCCTGTAGGGTTTAACAAACTTTACCAGCAGCCGTTTAGTGGTTTTACAGCCCATTCTGCCACACCATCAGACCAGGGATGATAAGGTGAAGTACGAGTTTTCACCCCAATTAACACCTTATATAACTACGTGACCAATTGGCTGTTGAAATCAGCCTCCTGGCCCATGTGGATTTCTCCTTGTGCTCTGAACCATGTTATCCATTTTTCAGCTAACACGTCTGCTACAGTCCACTAGCATTGTTCACTTCCACTTCGATTACCGCACTTTAACAATTCCAGCATCCAAACGGATAGCTATTCGCCCATGGTTACAGAACAACACAGGGACTTCATCCCATATCGGGTAAATCACTGCCCGAGCTTATGCTGTCTGTCTCTTGAACAAGAACCTGTTGATTTTGTATGTGGCCTCTATAATTGCGTTTCATAGTACGAGACTTTGTATGGATCAACCCGCGGAATAACACCTGTGAATAAGGAGATACTATCATTCTCTTCACTACATACACTCGTGCTATACGTTGTCCCTGGGCTCGATCTCGGTGGCATTGGATGACCTTGCCACAGAGCATCAGTTCACTTGTGACATAAGCAAAACTGACTGACAAATTTCAGAGTACGACCGTCCCAAGGATACCTATTCCAGCTCTAAGATCGGAAATGACCACTTCCGTTCTGTGAATGACATCTCCCAAACTAAGTTGGAACTTTAGTTTCATCCGTCCTCTAACACCAAGTTTGTCACCATTTGCCAGAACCGCTCCTCTAACACCCAGTTTATCACCATATCTGTGTTCATTGTCCTTAGCATTGACTCTACTTTAAAGGCTTGAAAGAGCGTGACGTATACTAGGGTCTTCTCTGCTCCTGTGACCACAAGCAACTCAACTTCTTAACCTTTACCCTTATTAGCATATATTTGGCCACATCCAGCCCTGACAAAAATGGGCTAACTCTAAGTCTCCTTGGTACCAGCCGACTGCGGTCCATTCTCCATATTGGCGGCCAAGCTCAACATGGACTCCATTGTTTTGAGAAGCATTAATTACCGCATCCACCACTCGTCGTTGGCCATCTCAGACCTGCTGATTCGGGGCGGTTTTGATATCTTGGTGTACTTATATATATTCCAAGATAAAGTTAACATTTAGATTCTGCTTTTACCATATTTGATAAGTATAATTATTTTTCTTTTATATATCTTTTTGTTTTTATGAGCCAGAATAACTTAAAGTACTTAACGGAAGCACTTTTCAGTATATTTTTGTGTATGGCACTAAAACAACTGAAGGAAGAGCGATTTTCAATTGTTATAAATTTTCTACATGTCTTGTGGCGATGAAGCCGATTTCAAGGCACAAATAACTTAATTATTTCATAAGAGAAATAATATTCTCTAAATTCTACCGTCGTAAAATTTAAACCCTAACAAAGTTGTAGCAACTGGAATCAAGGTAATAAAACGGAAATAGTTTCTTTGCAGCACTGTAAATTACCATAAAATAATTATGTCAGGAGCCTAAGCAATCATAATGACCTTTGCAAAAATCTGTCAAAACGTCTACACCTAACAGTTAATAAAATTATTTGCTTTTCAACGATGAATAAAATTAATCGTTTTAGTTTGATTTGTTTGTTTTTGAATTTCGCGCAAAGCTACACGAGGGCTATCTGCGCTAGCCGTCCCTAATTTAGCAGTGTAAGACAAGAGGGAAGTCATCACCACCCACCGTCAACTCTTGGGCTACTCTTTTACCAACAAATAGTGGGATTGACCGTCACTTATAACGCTCCCACGGCTGAAAGGGCGAGGATGTTTGGTGGGATGGGGATTCGAACCCGCGACCATGAGATTTCGAGTCGAATGCCCTAACCACCTGGACATGCCGGGCCATTTAGTTTGGTCATTAAATATGTTCAACTAATATATTCTTCAGAATAAAAATTAATTTCAATTATCAACAAATGAAACAAACATCTTTTTAAAACATAAAAACACGCACACCAAGAGTTCTCAATCTTATTGGCCCATTTTCTAAAGTCATCTCTTATTTATTAACAAAAACTTCAAACCATCTTGATACATCGTTACCTTAAGTGCCTATCGCATCTATTTAACTGTGTGATTTGAGTTCGTACATCCTTATTATTTAAATACTTATTGGGCCAAAAATAGATCTAATTATATTAAAAGTATAAACAATTTAAGCAATTTTGATCAGTTATTGTTTTGTTTTTTTGTTGTTGTTGTTTTTTTTCTAGTTCAGCGTATGCCACTGAGTCACTTGCTTCCTAAGAGATTGTTTCATGGCTAACCAATGACAGAATGTACTTCCACTAGCACGTGGGCCAATCACAACTTTACCAACGTGATGATCACGGTTGTAATCTATGAGTTTACTCGGAGTCTGGTTAGATGGTGTATTATTTCGATGAGTCACAATCAGTACAAACATGACATTTTCCATTTCAGAACTAGGAAGGTCAAAGGTCAAAGATTCATTATATGATGGACAATCAGATCCATATCGGCAGGTAGTTTTCCTTTTCTTGTGAAACTTTCCGTTATGAAACAGCAGGATCCGAATATACGGTGCTGGAATATTAAATATTAATAAATCTAGCAATAGACCATTGTTTATATCCATATGTTACAAAAGAGTCTAAGCACAATATATAAAAATCGTGTTCGTCTTGGTCGGTTTTAAAATTCGACTACACTTACATGAAGTCTAACGCACATACATATATTAAGAGCTTCCAGAGATAATTTGTTATTGCGTTAAAATATAATTATTCTTTCAAAATACCTATACCTAAAATATCATAAAACTAATCGTTGATCAGGATTTGTTGGTGCATAGTCTGCCTAAACCAACATGAAAATGCAGGTAGTTAGAAAAGAGCAAAAAAAGGAAGGCAATTAATTAATCTTTTCAACTTCTAACTTGGGGCATAATATATACGTCCTAAGTATGTATATTTATTCGAAAGCAGACCTGATATTTTGGCTTTATTACAAATATTACGCTTGTTAAGTAAGTCGTAATATGTTGATTTAAACTACAATGTAACATAACATATGCGTAAAACAAACATACCAAATTATTTACGCAGGAGCCTACTTCATATTAAGTACTTTTCAGATATCGAGAAAGAATAACCATTTTGATGATCTGTCAAATGACAATATTCCATATAGTTCTTCCCAACCCATAAGTATAATATTTTAAACCCTACCCTCACTAAGTTCGGAAATGAATAAACATGGTATAAAAACGATAATAATTTAGGATATATTTTTGGACAAAATGTCAATTACAGTTCGCAGTTTCAGCTATCTCATTATGTATTTAGTATATCTTTTGTATTTGCGATGCCAACAACACTAATTTATATTTATAAAAATACTCTTGGTTTCAATTAGCATTTGATTAATATCTGTAATATTATATTTGAATCAATTGTCTTTACAAGAGCTACTTATTGATAAATTAAAATTTCAAAAGGAAAACCAGAGAAATAACTTATTAGTAGTGAGACATTTAAAGAAATAATAAAAAATATACTTGCGAGATATTTTTTACAATACTTATGTAGCTATGAGAGGTTCGTTTGACTACTTATAATTAATAATTAATTAATTTTTCTATAATTAATTTAAGAGTGTCTGTAAATTTAAATGGAAAGCAACAATAAACCACGAAAATTCTACTTCGTATCAGCAAGCTACAAATAGCTTGAACATCTATTAAGCCTAATGTGCTCTATTTACAGCTTTGTAGTTTTTTAATTATACATTCATATGCAAATTAGCTCTTAATGTTAATAATTACCGTAAGTTCAGTGTTCTGTTTAAGAATGTATGTTATCATAGAGCACTGTAAAAACATTTTATCAATTTTATTATTTATAATGAGGATGGGAAATGCGTTAATGCAGTTTCCTTTTGCCAGGAGAACCCAAAAATAACAATGAATAAAGCAGAAAAAACGGGAAAATAAATTTTTAACACTTTATATTTTCCTGCTAATACTTAAGAAAAAATGGTTAAAAAGAGGCAAAGAAACTACTGTATTAGCTATTCTTATCATTTGTGAAAATTATTCAGTATGAAAGAGAATAATCATGTTGAGTTCGGGGGCGCCACTACATAAAGTTTGGAAACCACTGTTTTAATGGGTTTTTTTTTACAAACCTTTTATCAACCACTTTAAAGCTGGTACATACTATAAATTTGAAACTCCCCATAAATTATAAAACAACAACAGCAACATAACTACACAGGTAAATTAACCAGACGCTGATACTTATAGATATATTATTAAACATTATGTCAAAGCAAGAAATTTACAATGAATAAACTCGTAAAAAGCGCCCTCTTCACGCAACCAATCAAAAACAGGGGTATCACTGAAGGATCAAATAAAATAGCATAAAAAACATAAATAATTCGAAATATAGAATTAAAAATCAAACAACTTCATCAAGTATTTATAAAGGAAAATAACCATTGTATTCCTTTTAAGTAATCTAATATTAATATAGTTAATATACAAAGCATCTGTAAATAATTGTAATATTTTTCTCAATAATTTTGCTGCAATTTGGTTTGGTTTTTAATAAGCACAAAGCAAGGTTGTTGTCAAACACAATGTGCTATCTGTACTCTTAAGTTTCACATAAGGAATTTAAATTCTAGTGTTTAAACTTTCCACAATATATTCAAATTTCAGCGGCCCCCAACAGTAAGTCTGCAGGCTTATAACACTAAAAGTCGGGTTTCGATACCTGCGATAGGCAGAGCACAGATAGTTCCATTGTTTAGTTTTGTGCTTAATAACAAAAAATAAATACTCCATAAATAATATATTAAAGCCATGTAATTACCAAAATTTACCACACTGTCTGATACAACACGGAGGCTGTTTGCTTTCACTATAGTAAAAGTCAGGCGCTCTACTGTGGGTAGGAAACTCAAGCCAAACAGGATCTCTCCGTTGCTCTATAGGAAACAAGGTGTTTTAAAAGAAACGAATGTCAAAGAATATAAAATGTTTCTAGTAATCTTTCGTTAGTTTTATGTTATTTTGGTTAAATGGGGGGCGTCGTTATGCCATTTCTGGGTGAAATGAAATCAAACTTCCACTCAATTTTATCTTTTCGTTTTTTTTACCTGTTGCAATAGATTAAAATCAAATATTAACTTTATATTATTGATTTCAGTAGTGTACATTCTTATAATTCTACACAAAATTGTTTCACAACTCAACAGTTGGCTTCATATTTCAGTTAGCTTTTTTGAAACTCCAAAACCTTTTTGCTCTATAAATTGGTGGCAAAGTATGAATCTGAGTTCAATTGTTCTTAAGAAATATATCAAATTTGGGGGACTGATCCAACAAAGCTTTCGTCCTTGCTATTCGCGCCGACAGCAAAAATCAGGTAATTTATAATCAGACTTCCCCTTTCAGCATCGGTTTATCTATACTTTACTGTATATTATCATCTATTAGAAAAGTTCCCACCTCTACCCACAAAAAACATTTCTGTCTACGCCCTTGGTTTAGTAATTTAGTTGCGCATCTTCTAAAGCTTCACCGCGTGTATATTTCAACCATCTCAGCTGTAAAAATCGTGTATGTGAAGTATTTGCCCTGTTCTTCAGTTTATTTGTCATTACATCGTCTTGAAGATAGTTTAGGGTGAAGTAACCAAATTAGGCTTCCATTAACATTTTATAAGAATTAACTGGTCTGAGAATATACCTATGGAAACTTAAAAAAACAAACAATATGCAACTATGTGCTAAAGATATATATCAATCAGATCTTCTGGTTTTCTAAGTGATCGATCCTTCAAACTTTCAACGTATAGTTAGTGTTAGATCTGTTAAAAGCTTAATAAAAAAGCTATAAACGGTGACATAAATTCTAATTAAGAAGTTAGCACACAGGATCACACACAAAAGTTGTAATGGTTTTTCAAACGAGACCCAAAACTCGAGTGCTTTGGAATAGTTCGCTATTCTTCTTCAGGAGAATAAAGGTTTATGTTTAATGAATGTAATTTTTATTTTTATTTTTATCTATATAAAAATTGGTTAACATTTCTTGTAATTATTACCACACTTAAGTCTTTTATGTGCTGTACACACTTATTTAGCACAAACTAAACCTGACACCAACAACTCTGGGTTATGATTGGCTAGTTCTCAAGGCCTATATTAACAGCAAAAAAGTGGTGGGAAATAGAGAAAATGATAATATAAAGAAAATAATACCAATATAGAGATAGATTAAAACATTACACATATTCAATCTTATTAAACATTTGTATTTTCATAATAACATTGTGTGTACTTTCTTCGATAAAAACACGAAGATTAACTATTTCTAAAAATTCTCTCTTTTTGATGATTTGATGGCCGGGTATCATAAATCTCTTTTTGTGTGTGTGTTTTCGTTGCTAAGAAGATGTGATGAAATTGTCAGATATCAGCATTCTCATGTCTATGCTATTGTGGTACAGGACTATACCATTTGTTAGTTCACTTGCACCCTTAATTACTTGTAGCTGTTTTCGAAATTCATTTATTTTCTTTCAGCTCAGTTTGGATGCAGAGAATTACTCAAGTAACTCACTGAACTTTCCCCATCTCCAGTGCACACTGTACACAATTAGCCGTGTATTCTTAGTGTCAAAATAGCTTTTGGCGTTGTGAAATAAACGGCTGTCTTTTCTGTCGGCGAATTGGATAATGGCTAGAAGATGTCACCTCCTTGCGCGTGGAACACAATATGTGAAGATGGCATTTACAAGTTGGAGTCGTATGCAATCCTGGCATTTTTGATATTATTGTGTTTTGTTACATAAAGCCTGGTTTTGCAACGTAAGAGTAACTTGTAGAGTAACTTTTAGAGCTTTTGTAACTTTAATAACTATTTCTTGAGTTTCATTATTTGTTATCTATTATTTTTCTAATTTAAACATTACTTTAGTTTTATTTTAGAGCTTATTGTTAACATTTATATTTACTTTAGTGTAGCTATGAAATGGTCAGAGAAACTATTAAAGGTTTCCAATTTGTAATAAAAATTTTTGATTTTTGCATTTGTGTAGAGTATTTTTATGCACGACGAAATCATTCAATATTCGGAAAAAATACAATGCACACTGAGAAAACACAACATGCACTCTGTGACTCTGTACTTTCTGAACCACCAGTTAGTGTGTTCTTACTGAATACTCGGAGCGAAGGAAAATCTGCGAGTCAAAAAATACCACACTACATTAAACTATGCATTGCCCCAGAACAATCTCATTCATGTGCTAGCATTAAGGATTTTTATAAGTTATATTAAACTGGACCAAATATTGTTGCTGATGTTTAGTTGTGTGTTATTACAAGTTGTATTAACCTGGATCAACTTTTGTTGCTGATTTTTAGTTATGTGTTACTACAAGTTGTATTAACCTGGATCAACTTTTGTTGCTGTTGTTTAGGTGTGTGTTATTACAAGTTGTATTAACCTGGATCAACTCTTGTTGCTGATTTTTAGTTGTGTGCTATTACAAGTTGTATTAACCTGGATCAACTTTTGTTGCTGATTTTTAGTTGTGTG